AGCAGAGAGCAGCCCCACCTCTGGCACACAGGCACAGGCCCTTTCATCAGGGACACAAGCAGCAGCAGCAGCAGCTCTGCCTGAAGCGGTGAGACCTGCTTCTCTGAAGCCTCTGTTTGTCTTTAACCCTCTTCCCTCTGCAGCCAGGCAAAACCAACTTTTATTAGCGGGATAAAGTTATCTCGCTTTGCTATTTACTGTACTTTGCGGTTATACAGATCAAATCCATTTGGTGCATGGGAGCAAAATGTGAGGTTGCCCGATAAAAAAAATCAGTGTGTCGACCTCAGACACTTGGGATATCGAAGTGCTTTCCGTGTAGTCCTAGAGCAATTCTTAAGATCAAGTTCAAGTTTGTCATTGCACTCATATACATGGTATATGGTATAACGAAATGCTATTTAGCTAGCTCTCGGACATAAGTAGTACAAAGAGAGAAAAAAACAACAACAACAATACAATTGTGTAGCAAAAGAAAGACAGAGACAACAGACGATGTGCAAAAAACGACAACAGACGATGTGCAAAAAACGACAACAGGCAATGTGCAAAAAACAACAACAGGCAATGTGCAAAAAAGCAAAAAAGATGACTGTCACTATATTCCTCTTTGAAAAGGAGAGGCAAAAGTGTTTTCAACAGTAAAGCAGGTTCTTTTGCTGTCAGTTCACTCAAATACTCAAATCTTTAAATCCACCTCAGCCCTTTTGTTCTTTTGTAATAGTCCCATTATGGTAGAAGTTTAATTGCAAAATGATTTTTGCTCAATATCTGAGCATGTCATGTACAGCTACAATGAAGGATAAAGAGGGAGTATATAATTGCTGTTATCCCTTATTTCTGGTAGTGGTTTATGTAATCTTCCAATTCTTCAAAGTGTAGCTCCTTTTGTAGATCAATGATATTTTTATAATAGCAGCTCTAAAGTAGTCTGTCTGGATAAAGATTCTGGCCTTAATGTTAGATGAGTCCCATACTTTTTAGGTTGATAGATTAAATTCACACAACGCCAACCACTGACTAAAACTGCAAGTTCACAGCGGAGGTGCGGACTGCTCTCTGTGGGGAACAGCAAGCACTGAGGGGGGACTATTTTTACTCCTCACATTTCAGCATCAGTTCCCTTCAGGGATGACCTGTTTTAAATCGTTATTGATAAACATTAGAAGATGCTATCAACCTGAGTAGGGATATTAGATGAGTATGAGTTGGTATGTATCGGTGTGGGGTATTAATGCAAGGCTAGATTGAACAGAAGTTGAGTTACTAAAAAATGTAGTTTTTGGTTTAAAAAATATTACATTTTAAACTTGACAGTTTTCAATAAATACTTGCAAATAAAGAATTTTTCAACTCAAGCACTTTTCTTGCTTTCATTGTGTTGAATTAAAACAATACATCTTGCATTTTATTTTTTAACGTATGAGTGGTTATGTTATTATATTTCTGAATGTCCACTTTTGTTGTTTGTGTGCACTGTTGTGCTTAGGCTAATACAATTCTTGCTGGTACAGACTGTAATTCAGTGTCGATCTTCATTTTTGAACCAGACTCTTGTTGCATAACGTGTTAAATAGTCATTTAAATTAGAAATATCAAGTCCTGTTCTCCAATGAGTGCAATCATTTCATTTTTATTACAAGGTATTTCCTTTCCTTGTATTTCAGAGGGCTTTTTGTAAAAATAACTGTGGATATAAAAATATCAGAGGAAGTGAAACGTACCTAAATAAACCAAAAGGATTTATTCTTTCATATTGGAAGCCAGACTAACTTTTACATAACTGATCCTTTAAAGACACTGGCATTAGTCCAGTACAGTCACCGTTTTTCAAGTGAATGCAGCCTGGTATTCGGTGATAAATTGTAGTGCAATCCTGGATAAGCTGTGTTTCCGCAGTGGCAGGACTAGAGATGAGTGGGGGGTCATAAAACGTCAGACCATCTGCTGCTACATGTGACGTCCGGTCGTGCTGCAGAAAACAGTTCACGGCCCTGAATCCCCAAACACACACAGCTCTGTAACTCTGCAGCTTGCAGAACCAACTCTCCAGCATTGTACCGAGGGGCTGTCTATTGCTACAGCTGCTGCACTTCTTCCTGGAAGGCGGAGCAGCCTGTGGTCAGCCGAAGCTGGGAGAAACCCTGTGCGATTGCCAGTTTTTAATTCTTTGTTTTGTGAGCCACGGTTCCCCCTCAAGCCTTTTGCTCTGAATCTGGTGGGCTAAGATTTACTCCGAATAAAACTGCATTGTCTTGCTTGCTCTTCCCTGTGCGTTGCTTTGAAGTCGACTTAAAATAAATGTTTTTTCCCTAATAATGATCGCGATTTAGGTTTTAAAATATCCTTCTGGATTATCTGGGTGTTGTGTTATGAGAATATTATTATCTCCTTCTCTTGGCATGGTGGTGTAGTGGTTGGTGCAGCTGCCTCACAGCTCTGGGGTCCTGGGTTCAGTTTTGAGCTGGTGTTTGTATGTTCAGATCTAAAGTCCATGTAGTCCTGATTTGTGTACTTCTGTAAATTTCCAGAATAAGCTCCGAGCTGCTGTGACCCTTAACAGGAACAAGCGGCTTTCTGGTAATGGATGGATGGTTATGCATTTTCTTACTGCTTCATCCAATAATACAGGATCACTGGGGAGCCAGAGTGTATCCCGTCAAGCACTGGGTGTAAGGCAGGATACACCCTGGACGGGACACCAGTCTGCCACAGGGTATAATTGACGACCATCTCCTGGTCAGTCGAGTTTTATTATAAAGACATGTAAGGTTGGCTGTAATACAACCAATAATGACCTTCAGGATTGTTTATGTCTCCCTGTTATTAAAATTCAGTGATTCCCTATATTAGAATATATTAGTCATGTTACTAAATGGGGGTGATTTTGCCAGTAATGGAGGTTAGAGCTTGAAAGTTTAGGTCAGGGCTTGGCATTGTACAGAGTGGGCCTGCAATGAAAAGTCTGGCTAATGGCAAAAAAACAAACTAAGCTGAAAAAAAAAGCTTGACTGCTGCCCCATTGTCCATCAGTGCATCCGTTATGTTAAAAGTTTTCCAAATTCCTGGCACGGTCGGTGTTCCTTGGCCATCTGTATCCTTGACACGTCTCCTGAATGTGCCCTGCCTAGATAATAGGCTTTAAAGTTCGCGATTACACCTTGATCTGCTGGCTGGATCAGCAATGTAGTGGTGGAAAGAAGTCCACCACTTCAGTCATGTGCATTATGACAGCACTGTCTACAAAAAGAAGGATTTTGAATATTAAACTTGGCTCTTTGCAATATTTTTTAATTTCTGAAATAATCTGCAAACCACCTGTGGTACTGGCTTTTGGTGCCTTGAAAAACAACATACGTATGGATCTATACAACATAAACTGTGTCCCCAAAGTCGCACTGAGCCCTAAGCCTTTTCTCCAGAACCACACTTTTTGTGATGTACGGTAGGAGTAAACTTAACCTTTAAAATTAATTTACTTTATGAGGCAACTTTATAATGCAGACCTTCAGCACATGCCTTTAGATATGCGTCTCAGCGTTTTGTTTTTTTACGGAACAGAAGCCATGTCCCTCTTCTCCCTTTCAGGCTGCGCCTCAGAGTGACCCCACTGAAGAGCCCCCCCAGCCCAGCCGGCGCCTGAGCCCCCGCCAGCGCCGCGCCCAGCAGCCTCGGAGACCGGCCTCTCCCGCCTTCGCCCAGATCCAGCGCCGCCCGGCGGACGCCCATCACACCGGCTCGGCTGTGCTCATCGTGCTGCTCACCCTGGCGCTGGCAGCCCTCATCTTCCGCAGGATCTATCTCGCCAACGAGTACAAGCTAGACTACGAACTGTGACCTCCCCCTCCCCTCGCCACGGACCGGACACGGCGCGTCGCGGCCTGTCGTCCCGTCTGCTGCAGTGTCCCGTCAACATCGGTTTACAGCAGCGGAGGGAGGTGGCTTGCAAGCAATACGTACAGCTGATTCGCTCGTGGTTTGTGTACAAGAGGTCAGCAAGTGGTCAGATTGCAGATCAAGGTCAAGTAAGCAGCAGACCTTGATATTAGAGTGGTCTTTGATGATCTTCCCGATCCAAAAGAAGCAGCAGTAGCTTAGCTATTCCTTCTGTTTCTCTGCCTCTCTCTTAAGAAACACTTAAACTTAATTGTATTCAATTCACCATATTTGCATATCTCAACTGTGAAACCTGTGCTTCCAAATGTTTAGACCTAAATCGCTCCCGTAATAAAATACTAATACAGATGCTTAACTGCATACTTTTCAACTCTTATACTAACACCATACTCTATATTTGCAGTTGGTTTTGATCATAATGTGTGAACAGCAACATTTTAAATTGTGACATGATAATGTTCCAAACACTTTAAAAATAAAAATTTAGACTCGCCAAGTATTTTCAATTGCGTATCCACTAAATTTGGAAATGGCAGTTCTTTTAAGACCCCAGCACAGCTCCTGTACCCATTTTGAAAGAGAATTAGACATACATAGTTCGTGTCTGTAAAGTTGTAAAGTTTAAGTTTTGCTTTGTGTTTTCTTTCTCCAAATACAATCCTCCTAAAATTCCAAAACATCTGTTGGACTGAAAAATAATTCTTACATTTCTGTTGTCTTGTTAAATATTCAGGTTTAAACGTCGGCAAAAGAAAAGCATACCCATAATAGAAATATGGCCTACTTAACAGTTTTTCAGTTATATTCCATTACATTGTAATGTTACTACATTTCAGTCACTTACAAACAGTTTCATTCACATCAGGCTTGTTATTTCAGAAACCCAACATGATTAAGAGAAAAACTACAATTTTTACTTTTATAGTATTAAGTATATTAATTATATGTGCCCTTTTCAGCAATAGTTCAGGTGGGCAGCTGCATCGGCCTGCGTAGGCTGCAAAGGGACAAGTAATAGGTTTATTCCATGCTAAAAAAGAGAAGAAAGAAAACACAACGTTTCGGCCATGGAGCCTTCTTCAGGTGTGAACTGAAGAAGGCTCCACGGCCGAAACGTGTTGTCTTTCTTCTCTTTTCAGCATGGAATAAACCTATTACTTGTCCCTTTTCAGCAATAGTTGGTTTACAATAATGCTGGCCTCTGGTTAAATCACAGTTCAGGTCACCCTTGAGAAATGGCAGTGTAGATTTGGATTTGCAATGGAAAAACTATGAATGTGATGATCAGTGCTGTCCCAGAGAATATCAGTGGTATTTATTTCTGCAACCCACATGAGTGCATTTAAACCCGGATTTTATTGAGCAGGTAAAAACATAATAGAAGGTTACAAATTAACTGAAACCGTCTAGCCAGTGTGGAAGTGAGTAGTTAATTGATCCAAGAATCTCACGGCCATTTCTTGAAAGGAGCCAGGTATCGGCTTCAACAAAATGTTGGGTATCTTACTGTATGCTCCCACAAGCCTTTGGGTAAAGAAGTGCCACTTGTTCTACATCTTAGTGCTAATTCAACACTCCCAGAGCCTTCTTTTGAGGATTTGCCTCAGTTTGGTGCTGGTATAAAGCCCACGGTGGCCAAAGGTTGTTTCTGCTTTTTACTGGGAACCCTGGGAGCAGTTGTGAAGATCTGGTATCCTTAAACAGTCAAGAGCAGGTGTCATAACCCAGCTTTTGACTGCAGGTCCACCATAATTGCTTTTGTATAGCGCTTTTCACCCTAGCAAATGTCCCAAACATCCCCCAAGCACTTCACATACAGGAGGGGACCCACTTCGGCCGCCATTATCTACCAACATCCACCCAACAAAGCAGATCAGGTAGAGGAGGAAATGTAGGTTGTCCCGATTGTGCAAGCCTAATGCAGAATTCAGCCAGGACACCAAGGTTAACACCTCTGCTCAGGGAAATAGTGCCATTGGATCTTTAACGACCAAGTCGTTATGACTTCAGTTTATGGTCTTATCCAAAGGACAGCACAGTGTCCACCAGCACCATTGTTAAACAGGTTTTGGAAATTCTTTCATCAGAAGTCTCCTGTCCCTGTACAAACCAGTCCCGGCCTCTCGCAGCTTCTGAGGTTTAAAGAGATCGCAACAGAAGGTTACAAATCATGAATGTGATGACCAGTGCTGCCCCAGAGACCCAGATAACTACCAGACATTGTGATGTTGCGCTCTGTCCACATCGCGAGTTTTGCAACAGCGAGGAGCCTGATCTAAACAGTTGGAGGATTTGACTCTTCTTGGCTTCCTGCAAGCAATGGTGTACAAAGGCCAGGACTGTCCCCTGATGACACACCTTAAACGCATTTGGTATAATTAGAGAAGTTAACCTCACAACTATCGGCATCCTCTCACTGCTGACGGGCTGACTGATAATTGTATAATGTAGCGTGCTGTTCACTAAGTGGAGCCTAGTGCTTTGTGATCTCTGAAAAGCTCAGTAATGTGTACACCAACAATATGGTGTTAAAATGTGTGTGTCTGCTTGTATGGTGTCTTTTGCTGCTAACTTTAGAGCAGATTTTAGTCTGGAGTAGAAAGTTTAGAGAATCACCTTGTGGATTAGCCTGCTTATTTACAGTTTGTCTAACTGTTGCTTAGGTTAATTTTTAGTTACTCTGTGGCATAGCTGTCATACAGTAGCAATACAGGATTGTAAATCCCAGGTTTCTGTAAATCATGTATCTACAGATGCTGCTTACTAGCCATTATTTACAGAGAGAAAAGAGTTAAAACATTATTACAGTATTTCTGAATTAGGATCCTGTAGGCCATTAAAACAATTGACTTTTTTCCTCCTAGTCATCTATACATTTTATTTTTTAAAGACCAGATATTATACTGTCCTGTGGTCCCTTGTGGATCAGTAAAATCCACAAAGCAATACTGTATATGAAGCAACCCCCTCCAAGACATACACTCTCACTTCAACATTGCTTTGTGTTTCACTCCCACTGGGCATTAATCTGTTCACATGCAGCACCTTCATTTCATATGGCTCAAAATGCTGTACAGTCGAATAAAGTGTGATTAGAAAATACACCGGTTTTCAGTATTTTTCAGTATATTCTGAAATGTTACTCATCTTACATTGGTGGGGCAAGTGTTCCTATTCCTGATTCCCACAAAAAAAAAACCTTTACTAGGACGATCTCCCTTACATAACCAGTAGGCAAAATGATGGGCTCATCTGCACAGATTTCTGAAATGCAACTAGGAGAGAACAAATCACCATTAACTATTAATGCTTGAAAATGTAATCGGCTCCGGAGGAGTTTAAATACATTTTTTTTCATTCTGTTATATACTCGTCTTGAAGGCATGTCATCGTTTCAGCTGTTGCTGTAGCACATATTTTGTGCTTAAGTTAAGTTTAGTAGTATATTGCTTCTAGTCTAAACAGCCCTAATCTCTTCCTAGAATATAGTACGCCAATTAAAACAGTAGTCAAATCCATGCTTCAGTGCAGCTAGCACATCATTAAAGTTTAATTGGTACCAGCACATTAGTTTCAAAACCCATTTTCTTTCAAAGTCACTATGCTGAACACGTTGACCAACGAAACTGCTGAAGAAACGGAATTGAGATAGAAAAATAGCAGATTTCAGGGAAACATTGTGTTCCGAAGTCTCACTGACAAGTGTTTTCGACATCAAATGAGCCATGGCAAAAGATTACCACAATGTGGGCAACAGTAAAGAGCAAAATACAGCTGAAGTTATATAACAGAATGCCCAAGTTATGTACAACTGAGACTGAAAGTATTTTAATGAGAGAGTTGAAATAATAAAATAGCAAAATGTGTCATAAATGTACAGAATGTGTGTGCGTTTAGAAGGAAAGAGCCAATTAATATTTGCATTGTGTTGGCTGATCTAAAGACAACATAAACCCTGAAAGATGTTCCTTGAAATGACAAAAGGTTTTATCTTAATAAACGTAAATCTGTTTGCGGAACAAAAACCGTGATACGGTCCCACAGACACAAATTAGGTACAATGAAGCTTTAGGAAAATACATATTTTCCATTCACCAATATTATTTCTTTAATTTGCAATTCTTGTTACAAGAATTACAAGACATTCCCTTGTCGTGATGCGTTCAATACTAAGCCATATGTCTTGACAGCCCTTCCCGTTGTAAAGGTGGTACTGAATTCATACTTTTTACCCACTGCCAAATGTTTGTGATGGATACGTACAGTACTGTATGTACGCACAATGCAGTGTGTGAACACAATCCCATCCCTGCATCTAAGCCAGTTGTGTAAACTCTAAGCTTACTACACACAGCTCAGCGTTATCGCGACCCTACGAGCGGGGTGCTCTGCTCTGAATCACCGCGAACATCTGTACGACGGCGAACCAATCAGAAAACAAGCACGATAAAGCCGCTTGGAGTCGAAAACATATCAGTCTCCGATATTTAATCAACCCGCAGAGAGCTTTCCCGTAGCGATGACGGGCGCGGCGCTTCCTCGGCTCTGGCGAGAAAGATGATCCAGTGCGCACTCCTTCGCGGCGCAGGACTAATGAAAGGGGTTTCTGAGCTTATTCGCGGATTTTTAAGCATGCACTCATGATGCCTTATTTTGAAAAACTACTTTTTCTACTTTTTTGTCTGATCCTCATCGGTGAGTGCCGAAAGCACAGGACAAGGAGAAGGAGATGGACGGGAGCCGTGGAGCCGCATAAGCATGGCTTGTAAGTGGCGATTTTTTTCCCCAAGAACGGGTTTTCAAAACGCTATAATTTCAGCAGCTGGAGTCATTTGTTAATACTAGTTACTATGAAGGCATTTCCCAAATATCCAGGGTTTTTTCAAAGATCGGTTCCCGCGTTGCACGGCTGGCAGCAGCTTTTATTTGTACTTAGCAATAAAGTTATTTTGAGAATGGCCGCTAATATACAGTATACTTCGTTAACCGTACAATTTACCTGCAGTCCAGTTACATACAGCACTGCTTGTATGTTATGTTGGGAACTGGTGTATCGCTCATGATGGCAAGAATACATATAACTTTATACGGTACCTGGAATAAGCGAACACACGCTCCGTTTGCGGATACCGGATCCTCTTTCGGCATATTTTTATTCGTCTTTATGCCTGTCTGAATTCCGCCCGTTATCCGTGTAAATAGCAGGCGATTTAGTTTTTTTTTTCATACTGCCAAACGCGTACAACTGGCATTGCTCGACACAGACTGAGCCACTAAGGGCACTCGGAGCAGACGCGACATCACCTCCACAGGTGATTCTCTCACCTTTAGCTCAGCGACAGGTGGGCTGTATTGCCGACGTGAGGGTGTCTACTCCACGTGTATCCGGCGGTTTTAAAGCCACACTTGATATAGTAATTTGGGATAGGGCGATCCTAGTTGTTTTACATTACTGTGCGATTGATTTGTTCGACAGGTAATCTTCGTTTTAACTTCTCAGTTACCTATACATTGAAGAAAACGTTTTGTTTGCGCTAAATAGATATCCGCTATTTTTGCAAAGCCATCTTGGCAATCGATATTTCTTGATTTGTTTACATGTATCTCACCTCGTGTCTTAATCAAATTCCATTCAGAAGATCCTAGCATTTTTACGACTGAGTATTTTTACAGATCTGTGTTTTTTTTCCTGTAAATGCCTAACAGGCAAATAAAGTGATTCGATTACCGTTAGATCAGAAAATAAAACGTTTTACATTTTCTCCCATATCGTATCATAGGATATTTTTAAATGTAACAATCAGTATCACCATCTTTATTGACAATAATATCGCTGTTGCTTGTGCTGCTGCATTTGGAACTGGTCTCCTCAAGCAGTCGAAATGTTATTTATTGAATGTTATTTACTGTATGTTAGGAACTATAAGGATGGGGCCAGACTAGCCCATGTTCAGGACTTAAATATGTAAGTTTGGAGAAAGCAAGCATGTTTCTAAATGTGTTCAAAGCTCTTTTTAAATGGTACGTTTCTTTGAAATTTTAATTTTATGTGGAAACTGATGGACAAAATTGTCCCCCAAAATGCCTTAGAGCCTTTGTTTAGCAAAATAGCTAAATATTAGAGTTAATATTCCGAAAAAGAGCTGTGCTTTATCTGAATCCAGCGACGTCCTTGAATTACGTATAAACTGCCTGTTCCCAGTGCGGAATCGCGATGAGAGAGCTCTTGGAAGTGGGTTTATTGAGGTGCTTTTGCAGCGGTTTGTTAAAACAACCTCACGCCTGATATGTAGGGTTCATATCCAGTAATCATACAGTTATTACTGTAAAAGCTACAGCAATTTAATACCAGATATATAAAACATACACCCCCAGGTCAGAGTTATTATCACTTAGATCTTTTTGCATTGCATGAACAATATGAACATTGGTCCCATCTTCCGTTCAAATGCGTTAAAAAACAACCCTTAAAGACTGCCCTGGATCACAGCAGAGCTTACAGAATGGATTGCCTCGTGCAACCTGATTCTCAAAATGAACCCGAAACACTGCCTGTAAATTTGCCATAACAAGGTCCAGTGTCCATCAGACCCCTTTGATATTACCCCACTATTAGAAGGCTACAATGGCACGAGATTCAAGGTCTTCCCTTGGATCAGCTGCAGTAGGGAAAAGGAGAAGATGTTGCACACTGACCGTGAGGAGAGCTGTGTGGTATTGTGGTAAATCCAAATTCCAAATCAGGGGCTGCTGTTTTTCTGTGCCATTTCCTCTCTTTAATGATCCAGTGCTTACCAGACCGTATATTTGTGGAAGGGGAACCTTCTGATGATCCGGGTTTTAAAATGAGATCTTACTGTAAGTTTCACTGAAGTGAAGCGCAGAAATAGAGAGTTAGAGCATCACAACTCTGCTGGCATATCGCCTGCGACAGAGTATCGCTGTAAAATGTGTAGGTCTTCACCACACACTGAGCATCAACACAGCAAGTGAGCGAGTGGCTTTCTTGTTGAGACAAGCACCACGCTCTTTTACAGCTCACCCTGCAAGGTCCCAGCCCAAGCTGGTAGTTTCTCAAAGGTGGCTGTGCACTTCTCAGAGCTCCGCTGTCAGCACGGCCCGGGGTCGAAGTCACGAGGGACACACGGGTGTTGTGTTTTTGCAGTCCTCTGTCGAAGAAGACACAAGACGTGACCAAAACGCGAAAAGTGAAGACGGACCACCTGCTCCGCGTAGACGATCACGATTTTACAATGAGACCAGCATTTGCAGGTAATGATTCAAATACCTTTTGTAAATGTGCGATTTTGCACTGAAGTGGTGCCTGGAGCTCCTCTTGATACACCTGTATACAGTATCAACCACTCAACAGTTTGTTTCAGTGTGTTACTCGCAGTGTCCCCTGGCCTTTATCAATCATGGCCTCCTAATAATCCCCCTCTCTGAACTGGCTTCATCACTCTGTTCTCCTCCCCACTGAGAGCTGGTGTGTTGTGAGTGTACTGAAACACTATGGCTGCTGTCACATCATCCAGGTGGGGCTGCACACTGGTGGGGGTGGAGGGGATCCCCATTACCTGTAAAGCGCTTTGAGTGGAGTGTCCAGAAAAATGCTTTATAAGTGTAAGGAATTATTATAAATTATTATCCAGGTGGGGGCTGCACATTGGTGGTGGTGGTGGGGGGAGTAGAATTTTTTGAGTGGAGTGTCCAGAAAAAGCATTATTATTATTATTATTATTATTATTATTATTATTATTAGTAGTAGTATTAATATTATTATTATTGTTGTTGTTGTTGTTATTATTATTGTTAAATTATGTCTAATCTAATTGGTGAAGTAATTTTCTGTCTCATATTCATAAAGTGGTGGTTTGGGATTCCTTATTATTGAAAAATCACAAAGCACTAGTGAGGTAATGGATCAGATGTTCAGAACACACAGCCAGTGGTAATCACCACCATCAATATCTGGGACTCAAGAGCACTGAATGATACAGGGAGTTTGCCTTCCTGTCATGGGGTCGGGTTAATGGTCTTGCCTCACAGATGTTTAGTTTCTTGGGCTTGATACTGGCCTGGGGCACCTCCCTTCCTCTATGTAGAGCTGGCATGTTCTCCCCATTGCTGCTTAGGCATTCTACCAGTGTCCTCACACCAGCCAAAGGCGTGCCATCAGGGTTGGTGGACGACTCACAGTTGTCCCCTGAATATGTGTGTGTCCTGTGATGGCCTGTCCCGGGTGTATCCTGCCTTGTGCCTGTGGTGCGCTGGGTTAGTCTCCACCTGTATCACACTAAACTGTCAGTGAAAATGGGTTAAGGCTGTGTGGTATAAAGTAAAGAACGTTGTCCTGGGGATTGAGCGATAGGAATTGTACTTTCTAGGAGTGCTGCCGTTTGTTAACCACAAAAGGGTTGAATATTGCGCCCTCTAGAGTACATGACTCAAAACTACAGGACATAGGTTTTGTGTTTTATCTGATATATACTGAAGAAAAAAACAAAGCAAAATGTGTTTATCAAATTCACAATTAATTTATGAACAGTTTATTACTTAATCGTTTTAATTCACCAGTAATGGTGTGTGCTGCCTATGCAGAACAACAAGGATATCCAGATAAATTCCTGCTCATTTTCTGCTTTGATTTTACATTTCTGTACAAGAAAGGACATAATTATAGATTTTCATGGATTATTCTGTATTGATCATTATACAACAAACATAATTGTGGTTTCTTAAAATAAAGCTGTTTTTAACCTTTTATTCAGAGTATTGTTTTTAGTAATTTTTGTGTTTAGCTTTTTAGTAAAATGGCCAGTCCTCGCTGTTTTTGACATACTGTGTTAGCTCTGGATAAGATTAATGATCAAGTTGTCATCAATAAGAGCCATAATAAATCTTGTATTAAAGTAGAACAGCACAAATGTTTATGTTGTTAAAGACCTGTCTGCAAACACTCCTTTGTAATATATTGTACTGTATATAAATATCAACATAGTTTTTCTGCATGGAACAATTCTTTCTAATTTTTAAGTGGAGGCTTAGTATGCATTTCTCTTAGTACACAGAAGATAAAAAAGCTCATATTCTGTAGCTACTGTATGTAATGTAATTATTTTGGAACTTTATTACTGACTTCAGTGTATGGACCTGGTGCCGTGTTCAGATTTTTTCACCATACTCAGATTTGTCTCAGTTCTGCATTATTTCTGTTTGCTTTCCAAATTGTCCCTGATGTGATTGTGTGCATATATCCATCTGCGTCTGTGTGTCTGCCCTGCAACGGACTGGCGTCCTGTCCAAGGCGTATCCTGCCTTGCGCCTGTTGCTTGCCCTGGATCAGCCGCCACCCTGAATTGGTTTGTTTTCCGCGACACGACCATTACTAAAATGAGTGTAATAAGAAATGGCCAGTAAACCTACTGCTGCGGAGATCTGTGGGGGCAGGAAATCTGCGCATTAATAGATTGAAGTTGAAGGCAGAATGATGACAGCTTAGCACTGCTGCAGGACGCAAACATATACACACTTCTACTGTCCAAAGTCACGCCATAATTCGGACTCTTTCGCTGTTTCTCTCGAAGTGGTTAGCACTTTGTGTTTCTGCTTTTTGTAGAGGTTATGTACACTGTTTTCATCACCTTAGATACAGCAACCTGTCCTGTTAGTCCTCATCCTGGCACTTTGTGTGTTCATACAGTATGTAACAAGCACACCACTCTTTTTGACCGTTATTTCAAACAGGCATAACTATTCACAAAACGCAACAAATAGAATTTGTAGGGGTACTTCATGTGACTGATTGTCGACTGTAATAGCTACAGCAATTTAATACCAGATATATAAAACATACAGCCCCAGGTCAGGGAATACTGTTTGAGGTAACATGATATCCTTTACTTTTTTTTGAAAAACAGTTTGGTGTTACTAATACACAAACTAATTTTAAGAAATTAAATGAGAAACGAGAGCATATGGATGTTAAAGGAAGTGCAGTGCATGTGTCACTACACACAAAAAAGAAGTAGCACTATCAGGGCCAGAACACCAATAAGTAGTATAGACCCAACGCAGTAATTCAGACACCCTGTTAGTACTGTTTGGGTCCTACGTTTCCAGAAAACAATCTGCTAAATGCATCACAAACCCTACCCATTACAGGAACGGGGTCTTGAAAATTTTTTTGTTTTCCTACCTGATTTATCTAACATTTAACAAGAAACTTACAGCCTCTCTTCTCAGATTCTCTCGATGCCTTTGTCACTGGTGCCAGCATGCACAACCCCTTGGTGTTGTGTCATTTAAATGTGGATTTTTAAAAAGTAAAACCTTGTGCGCCAGCACATGAGAACCATGCCACAAGCATTTCTGAGGGACCCTGAAACGTTTCCTCGAGAGGCACAACGATTGAGCCGCCGGCTAGAAACACAGCAGCTGAGGCGTCTGGATCCATTCTGATCAGCAGGGGCATCAGGTGTGTTTCTAACATGAGGTTCGGTGGTTCAGCAGGTGAAGCTCTTGTCCTGCACCGCTTCTTACTGTTACTCGGTTCTCTTCCCAGCTTTCCCTTGTTCCCAAACCTCTCCAACCCCAAAGGGAAGCTTCCAGGTAGAGGAGGACCCAGCTCAACAACCGAACAGCTCTGAGCAGAACGGTGAATTGCAGGCTGGTGTTGTTAACCTGCCCTTAATGCACTAACGCTCTGCAGCAACAGCAGGGCTAGAGTTAGAGAGCTAGTCATTTCCTGAGAACACCTTACTGAAATCAAAGACTTTTCAATGTGATCATTTTTTCCATCATACTCACATTTGTCTACGCCCTGCATTATTTCTGTTTGATTTCCAAACTGGTCCTGGTGTGAGTGTGTGTGTGTGTCTGCCCTGTGATGGACTAGCGTCCTGCCCAGGGTGTACCCTGCCCTGCGCCCATTGCTTGAGAGGATAGGCTCAGGCTCCCCTGTGACCCTCAAGTGGATGATGTGCTGTAACTAGTTGTTAGGTGATTGCATTTCCTTTAAGACTGTAGTAAAGCAAACTTTTAACTTTATTTTGTATATATTGAAATACAGTATACAGTACATATAGGAACAAGGGATAGGTTTATTCCATGCTGAAAAGAGAAGAAAGAAAACAACGTTTCGACTGTGGAGCCTTCTTCAGGCTGCTCACACCTGAAGAAGGCTCCACGGCCGAAACGTGTTTTCTTTCTTCTCCTTTCAACATGAAATAAACCTATCCCTTGTTCCTTTGCAGCCTACGTATGCTGATGCAGCTACCCACCTGAACTACTACAGTATATATATACAATCGTTTCTTAAGATTTTTTGGAACTTTAAGCTGATTGCCTACACAAATTCCTTTGAAACCTGTGCATTTTGCGCACAGTGTAATAGTACATACTGTTAATTGTGGTTCCTTTGAACCTTTGAAAAGTACAACTAAAGGGAATTATCTCACGGTGTGTAATTGTACAGTTTATGATTGTCCTTATGGAAAGGCACATATCAGTAAAACTAAAATGCAAAACATTGCTGAATATTGTAACTCTATGATGTGTTGGAACTTCACTGATCCAGTTGCTGTTCACCTTGTTAAGGCGAATCATTCAATCTCCTGTTTTAGGTGTGGGCAGTGAAAATGTTGAAGGCAAATGTATATTAATAAGACATTTCTAATGAGGAACACTTTCTGGATCTCTTAACTTCACACCTGAACACTTTATGGATTGAGCTCATTTCTGTAAATAGAAGCCGATAATCTTCTGAGTTTTAAAATATACGCTCAATTATTGTTATAAAGATAAATATATTTTTCAATAAGTGTTCATTTGTATGGATTAACTTATTTTTTTATATATTTTCTGGCAATGTAATCAACAAAATGACAACCAGGAATTCTTTTTTTTTTATTTACTGTTTCAAGCAAATCAAATAGCATTATAGCTGTTATTGAGCCATGAAAAATTCAACAAAGTAGCAAATTTCAAAATAGCAAATAGAAAAAACTCATAATCAAAAATAGTAGTTTTGCCACAGACCAGACTTCATTTAAGACAATGGTATATAACCTTTATATAATAACTGCAAACATGGCTTTTATAATATTAATCCTTTACACCTATAATGTCATCTTCATTTCTTGGCTAATACAACACATTCTCCCTGTAAGAATGAGAAAGACTATTGGTATAATGATAGCTTAAGGGAACAACAAGATATAAGACAATAAGACAAACCAAAAATGATGATGACTGTGCTCCAAAAATAACTG